TTAAAAGCATCGTCATCTGCCTGCTCCTCCTTCAAGGGACCATCCCCTCGATCCTCCCCAGACACAGCCTTGCTGGAAGGACAGGGAGGGAAGCATCACTGAGGCAGTGCTGCTCTGCCAGGGAGCGGGGTGGCTGCGGGTGATGCTGAGAAGCAGGGCACGACTTCACCTGAAAATGTGTGATCCAAACCAGATCCTCTTACTGCTAATCTGTCCCCAGGACAGGACTCTCTCCTCCTTGCCAGAAAAACCTTTTGTGCACAGGCTGATGTGAATGGAAGATGATAAGTCACTAATTCTTTGGTGTGTCTGCTCTAACAAGAGCTTTGACTCTTATCTCCTGCAGGGCTGGCAGCCTGGGAGATGTTAATTGTGCTTTAATGCAGCAGACATGGCTCTGTACAAAGAGTGGTGCTGCTGCCAGCCCTGGGAATGGGCTGTGGGAAGGGAAGGGGCTGCAGGAGGAGGCTGCACTGTCTGTGGAGGTGAGCGAGGGTCTCTGCAGGGCAGCTCAGGGGTCTGTGCCCACCTGGAGCCCACAGCTCCGGGTGATTTAGCTCAGGGCTCGCAGCTTCTCCCCTCTTGCCTGTGTGTGGGGCAGGTTGTGCCCTGGCCAGGACCCAGTGCGCAGGGGGGGATGCAGCAGGGTGACCCCTGGGAGAGGGTAGATGGAGGGGTTGTAAGGCCAGCTCCAGCAGCAGAGGGAATCAGAACTATCTGCTACAAGGAGCCACCTTCACCTGCTTCTCACAGGTTCTGCTGCTGAACTGAGCAGCGAGCGCCGACACGTTTGTGTTTCTGAAAAGATCTTGGCAGTGGGGATGTGTGACTGGCTCCAGAGCATCTCTGCTGCAGGCAGGAGTGTGCAGAAAAACCAAACCCAACAACCAAGGCAGGAGTTTCTATTTTTAGCTGCCGAGTGCAAAAGCACAGAGCTGCCAAGGAAATGAATCGCCTGCCCTGGGAGATGGGTGGTCAGGTTTTCTCTCTGGGCAGGTGATTGACAGGATGAGGCAGAGGGAACCTTGGTGGGGTGTTCTGGCTGCCCAGGGCTCCCCCAGGACACATGCTGGGGCTGCAGAACATGTCACCAGTGGTGGCATGGCAGCGAGGAGATCAAAGATCCATCCTCTGGTGGGATGCAGCACAACTGGAGCCTGGGCTGTCAGAGCCATTACAGCTGCTAATTAACTCCACCTGTGCCCCAGTTTGATGTAATGCAATTTTTTCCCCCTCCTGCAGGAACTTGCCCCAGTTGGGCACGGGGGCTGCCCCAAAGCACTAGTGACTTTGAGGTTGTTTTTTCTTTTCCATGGTAGAAGGGAGAATGCCAGGGTGAGGGTTCCCCTGGTTGGAGCTTGGATGGTGTCAGCAAGCAGCTTCCCACTTGTCAGATTAATTGGGAAGCAAGTTAATCTGTGTATCCTGCTTAGTTGTTAAGGCTTTAATTAATGAGTTAATGTGTGGAGAAGCTGGGGAGGGGCTGGGTTGTTGTGTGATTGCTGGCTCTGGGTTACGCTGCAGCCTTCCCTGGGGTGGGCTCAGGTACCTGTGGATGTGCTGGGATGTGCCAGTTGTTCCTGGAGTGGGTCACCAGCACCGTGGGACACCAGGGACGGAGGGAGTGGCGTTACCCAACCCACTGACGAGCTGACCCGAGAGCAGCACGGGGGCACTTGGTGTGGGTGGGAGCCTCATCCATCGGGGTGTGTGTTCCAGGGAGCAGCACAGATTCCGGAGCCCACCGCTCCCGGGGCTTTAGCTCAGGGCTCGCAGCTTCTCCCCTCTTGCCTGTGTGTGGGGCAGGTTGTGCCCTGGCCAGGACCCAGTGCGCAGGGGGGGATGCAGCAGGGTGACCCCTGGGAGAGGGTAGATGGAGGGGTTGTAAGGCCAGCTCCAGCAGCAGAGGGAATCAGAACTATCTGCTACAAGGAGCCACCTTCACCTGCTTCTCACAGGTTCTGCTGCTGAACTGAGCAGCGAGCGCCGACACGTTTGTGTTTCTGAAAAGATCTTGGCAGTGGGGATGTGTGACTGGCTCCAGAGCATCTCTGCTGCAGGCAGGAGAGTGCAGAAAAACCAAACCCAACAACCAAGGCAGGAGTTTCTATTTTTAGCTGCCGAGTGCAAAAGCACAGAGCTGCCAAGGAAATGAATCGCCTGCCCTGGGAGATGGGTGGTCAGGTTTTCTCTCTGGGCAGGTGATTGACAGGATGAGGCAGAGGGAACCTTGGTGGGGTGTTCTGGCTGCCCAGGGCTCCCCCAGGACACATGCTGGGGCTGCAGAACATGTCACCAGTGGTGGCATGGCAGCGAGGAGATCAAAGATCCATCCTCTGGTGGGATGCAGCACAACTGGAGCCTGGGCTGTCAGAGCCATTACAGCTGCTAATTAACTCCACCTGTGCCCCAGTTTGATGTAATGCAATTTTTTCCCCCTCCTGCAGGAACTTGCCCCAGTTGGGCACGGGGGCTGCCCCAAAGCACTAGTGACTTTGAGGTAGTTTTTTCTTTTCCATGGTAGAAGGGAGAATGCCAGGGTGAGGGTTCCCCTGGTTGGAGCTTGGATGGTGTCAGCAAGCAGCTTCCCACTTGTCAGATTAATTGGGAAGCAAGTTAATCTGTGTATCCTGCTTAGTTGTTAAGGCTTTAATTAATGAGTTAATGTGTGGAGAAGCTGGGGAGGGGCTGGGTTGTTGTGTGATTGCTGGCTCTGGGTTACGCTGCAGCCTTCCCTGGGGTGGGCTCAGGTACCTGTGGATGTGCTGGGATGTGCCAGTTGCTCCTGGAGTGGGTCACCAGCACTGTGGGACACCAGGGACGGAGCGAGTGGCGTTACCCAACCCACTGACGAGCTGACCCGAGAGCAGCACGGGGGCACTTGGTGTGGGTGGGAGCCTCATCCATCGGGGTGTGTGTTCCAGGGAGCAGCACAGAGTCCTGCTGTCACGGGCACCTTCTCCTCCTCCTCTGCCTCCCAACGGCTGCTCTCGTGCTGTGGTCGCTGGACCATTGGTGTGTTGATAGTGCTGCTCTTAATTGAGGACCATCTGCACTCACTAATTTAATTTCTCCTGCATCTGCAAGGTTCCAGCTTTATTTGTCTGAAGTCCCGAGGATTATTTAACTTTGGAGCATCATGTTCCTCCAGCAAAGGCACTCCAGGCATTCTCCTGCTGCCTCTGCTAGAAGGTATTTTAATAACATTGCCAAAGCCCCGGGAGGAAGGACACATAAAAACTGAAATTGCAAGGGGTGGTGGCAGAGCTGAGTTGCAGGGATGGTTTCCCAGTGGCGTGCTGGGAGTGTCTCCTGGGTGATGGGAAACTCTTCAAGAGGAGGCACAAACCCTGCACAGCCCAGCCCTGCTCGTGGGCCTGCCCGAGCCTTTCACGTCTCTGACACACGTCGGCTTTTGTCTTTGGCTGTTTGTTAGTCATGAAACCCCCTGGCTGAGCCTTTGAAGGGCTGCGAGTGTGGGACTGAGCTGCAGCTCCTGGCAGAATAATAATAATTGGAAGCTGGAAAGTCTGTTTGTGGAATCACTTGGGCATCTGGTTCATGTGGCACCGACGGGAGCTGTTGTGTTGCTGGCAGCAGCCCCAGCCTCTCCCACCTTCCTCCCACCTTGGCTCAGTTTCTTCACCTGCATTTTGGGGCACACAGGGATGCAGGCAGAGATGCAGGCAGGGATGCAGGCAGGAGCTGCTGCTCCAGATGGCTCTGACTGTCTCCTGCCTTCAGGAGCACCTCTGCAAATACTGGCTCTGCTCCACAGCAAAGCCCTGGGGAAACCAGTTTTTTCCCTATCCTGGTCCAGCAGCACCTGAGTCCATGGGCAGACTTTAATTAGCTGTAAGCATTTTCCTTCCCTAAAATGTAGGTCAGTGGTAATTAGCGTGAACCCTGCTGCTGCTGTCTTTGCTTTTAATTAAGCTCCTGAAGTGGAGGTCGATGAAGTTGCAGCATCAGAACTTCAGGTTTTTTCGGCTGCTCCCCAGGTGCTTTGTAGTCACTTTGGCTCCAGGACCTGCGGGGGGTTTTGGAGGCCAAACTGAGCCTCGGGAGCCGATCTTCTGCAGGGACTAAATCTGCTCCCTCTCACCCACCAAACGAGTGCCCAGCACGGCAGGTCCTTGTCGCCTGGGGGGACGGTGAAGGTGCAGCTCCTCCGTGCGGCCCCGGGACAGCGGGGACCTTTGGTTTTAAGCCCTTTAAGCCTCCAGTGACTCGGTCTCCGTGTCCCGGGGAAAGCCCGGGCTCCGGGCACGGCCCCAGCCCCGCAGCCTGCCCGCCCGTTCCCCGCGCTCCGGGCTCTGACTCACTCGCCGCACCCGCTGCCGCTGT